GAAATCAATGTAATGAAGTTAAAGATACTTATATGCAAATGTGTAGAAATATGCACTGATTTTGTTATTCAAATAAAAATAATAATATTCAAGTCTCTTAAGGTTTCAGTTTATCCATTCTATTTTTTTTTTTTTTTGGTTGTTGTAGGGAGGTTGTTTGTAACAATTTTTTTGTTTAACTTGGATAAATTCTTTTCAAGAGTAGTTGTGTAAATAAATTGTAAATAAAGAATTTAACTTTATGAAGTTCATAGATGGAAATAAAGTATAAAGTAAAACAGTTATACCAAAAACTCACCTTGACGAACAAAGACGTCATTCTCTCGGATGTGTTGTAATAACGAGAGATACTGTGTATCATTCGGATACCATTTATTAACCCAGGTATCCCCGGAAGCATTCCAACCTGCAAGAAAATGTTCCGGAAGTTAAAAAAATATATATATAAGAGAATGATAATCATACAAACGACACAATAGATAATCATTTCTAAAAAAAAAATTAATGGATTAACGGATAATCAGATATTTAAAGATTTGATTGGTGATACAAATTTGATTGGTGATATAAATTTGATTGGAGATACAAATTTGTACGACCACCATGAAAAAGACAAACATTTATATTTCTTACCAATCATGATAAGTAAAAAATAAAACTGAAAAACGAGGTTTCAAATCTCGATCAAAAAAGCTAAACCGAGGTTAATAAATAAAGAATTATAAAAAAAAAAGAGATAGACAATATATATTGGGGGAAAAAAATTTACTTAGATGGAAATTAATCAGAGGCCCAGTACGAAATCCTTCTATTTTCTCTGTGGCCTCAAGGACAAAATATAAATGGTCTCCATCACTTTTAAGCGGTAATTCGAGTGAGATGTAATAAGAATAGTAAATGAGTCCACATTGAAATTCGCCAAACAATTATGGCTTTTTTATTAGGGGATCTCCGAGCCGATATGATTACCTACTACTTAGACGTGATATTTAGTTAATACACGTGTTTGAGTTGATATCCACGTATTTTAAGCGGTGTCTACTAACCTTTGCATTCGAAAGTTTTAAAGCAAAATTTCTTTTTTAAGACTTTCGAATATCCAGGCCGGTAGACGTATATTTAAATTTTTTTTTAAGCATTCAACCCCAAGCAAGGCGGGAAGCCACTAGGACGCAACGGGTTTCAGAGTAGGAGCGAGAGCAAAGAGGAGTGATAGAGGAAAGGATGAAGAGACGGTTAGGGGATAGATCCGGACATCTGGAAACGTCGATTGACGTTACATTTGAATAGCTGAAGATTATAGTTATCAGGAAAACAAGAAATGGGGAGGGAGTTCCACAGGCGAGAAGTGCGAGACATGAAGCTATTGGGGTAGAAAAAAAGAAAGGATATCGACACAAACACGGCTATCCGCTAAATACTGGGTGTGGCAGAAATACCCTCGACACCTGTGTCGGAGTAGTGAACTTAGCCAAGTGGCAATGATGTCTTTATCTGGCTAATGTTTTACAATTATGTGGGAGGTATTTCTGCCGCACCCTGTATAAAGTTTAAGTAATGAGAAACAGTAGACATTGTATGTGATTGCATATTCAAAGTAATAAAAACTAGATTTATAAATGCCATAATATTTCATTGCTTTCTTTATAGTTATTATATTTGTTTGGACCCTGGATTTGTATTCAGAATAATTCCAGGTTAAGATTCTGTAGAGAAGAACCCATGAATCATTCGCAAAACAAGGAGATAGGTAAAAACTAAATTTCATTATTATCCATTTTATTAGTTGTTATGCAGTAGAATCCCTGACAACCGGACTAAGAAGGCTTTCCGGATATGAGGAATCGGTTACAAAAACCCGGATGTTTATTGAAATCAGGTTTAACATTTAGAGTGTTAATGGTGGAGAATAGTTGATTTTGGAAAAAGATTTTTATATCATACAATGTTGCAAAACCTTCCTCTCTTGAACTCAGCTTTTCCATTAGAAATTTTTTTAAATGAACTTTTTTCACCAGTCATCTAGTCTGTTTAAAATTTCCATCATTTTTTTTTATTTCCATTTTTGCGATAATTCCAAAGTTTTGCCTTTACTCTTATTCCCATCATCTTTCTCACCAACACAAGCCATTAGGGTGAGATAAGCATAAGCAATTATCCCAAGTAAATTTCCTGAAAAACAGAAATTTCAAATCACACATATCATCCAGATAGTTCAAATATACACATCAAAATCATGTCCGGATATGCGGGATTTCGGATATGAGGCACTCCGGATATGAGGGATTTCGGATATGAGGGATTCTACTGTATTTGCAAATTTTCCATTTTCAACCTATCAAAGTTTAAATGTTGCTTAAACGTCTTATCGACAACTTCGTGCTGTTACGTTTAAATCTGTCAATAGTAATTTTTAAAACAACGTCAGGTGTCTTTAAGAGTGAACTGCTATGTAATATCAAACCACCAAATATGTCAGTGAATTCTGGACAATTTTCCAATAGATAAACAGAACACTGGTCACTGTTGGCCTATCAATAAAGAACTAGCTGGAAACGTTCTACTATGGATACCTTCGTATAGAAAAAGAACACAATGTCTATCAAAGATGTACATAGACCATCTGATTGAAGATACGAGATGCGGACTGAACGAGCTTCCAAATGCAATGAATGACAAGAATGGAGAAAAGCAACGTGTCATGGAATGCCGAGATTGTATCGACCTGATGATGATGATAATTCAGTAACATTGGGTTGATCTTTTTCAAAATGACCCTTCTTTTTCCTACTGCCAATTATTATTCTGAAGATGTCTTTGTCGATAAACTGCTTTCTTTCCCTTTAATTCAAACTACATTTTCTACCTTTAGAATCAATCATAGAATAGAGATGGGATCGGAAACCTTTTGCTAACTATGTGGCGACATAGGTTTTAAAAATTATTCAGTGTGCCAATAGCATACGTATTTTTTTTAGGAACTGGAATCTGGAAAAGCGGTTAGATGGTGCTTATACACGAATGCTTCGAGCAGCATTAATCAAATGCTGGAAAGGTTACCCAACAAAGAAAGAGCTCTATGGCAACATAGCTCCTATTAGTAAATCAATGCGCAAACAATGACTAAAATATGCTGGTCACTATTGGCGAAGAATTAGCTGAGGGATTTCTACTCTGGATACCATCCCATGGAAAAAGAACACAAGGTCGACCAAAGATGTACATTGACCATCTGGTTGAATGCAGGATGGATGAACTTCCAAATGCAATGAATAACAACCATGGATGGAAGCAGCGTGTCATGGAAGGCCGGAGATTGTTCAGCCTGATGATGAGGATAATGAGGATAATTTAGTAACACTGAGTTGATCTTCTTTTTTCAAAATAACTCACTCTTCTTTTTCCCATTGTCAATTGTTATTATGAACATATCTTTGTCGATTATATGACACAAACATCAACTGCTTTCTTTCCACATAATCAAACTACATTCTCCACCTTTAGAATTTCTAAATAATCATAGAATAAAGATGGAGTCGGCAACCTTTTGATAACTATGTGGCGAGAGCAAATGTATTTTTATAGGAACTGGGAAAGGAGTTAAATGGTTCTTACACACGAATGCTTCGAGCAGCATTAAACAAATCCTGAAAAGATCACCCAACAAAGAAAGGGTTCTATGGCAACATACCTCCCATCAACAAATCAAAGACTAATGTTTGCTGGTTACTGTTGGCGTAGCAAAGAAGAACTAGCTGAAGACGTTCTACTCTGGAAAAAAGAACACAAGCTCAACCAAAGATGATGTACACTGACCATCTGATTGAAGACACGGGATGCAGACTGGATGAGCTTCCAAGTGCAAGGAATAACAGAAAGTAGCGTGTCATGGAATGCTGAGATTGCTGATGTAAGTTCTATTCTAATTTTTTCTTTTCTCGCATTTCTTGCCTGTGGAAGTCTCTTCCGGTTTCTTGCGTCCCTGGCGCCTAATACCTTCAAAAAAAAAAATAGAACATCTATCGCCATCTTCAGTCTTTTTTTTTTTTTTTTGTCTCCTAACTTCTCATTCTCTTTCACTCTCCACGTCTTAGTGTCATTATAGCTTCAATTGGAATGAAATTACGTTCTTTTTCAAGAGCTAAAAGTGATAGAACGTTGTGGAGAGCTACGACTGCCAAAATCGGGAAGAGACACAGAACCTAAAAGAAGAAAGTAGTCGTAAAAAGAATTGTTCAAATGTAAGCGAAAATTGACATGTTTTTTTTTTTTTTTTTTGTTTTTTTTTCGAAATTGCTACTGCTATGTTGATATATACCAAATGATATCATTAGATAAAGTAATTTTAACATGACAAACATTTATGGTGGATAGGGACAGATCAATAAAGGAAGAGTGACGTACTGGATTGCTGTTGTAGAGTGGGTCACAGAACTTCTCCAGGGTGTACAAGAACTTCACGTTGTCTCTCGCTTCATTCGCAGTGTCGGTAATACGCCGATCAAGTTCTTGCCAAGTCTGCAAGTAAAACGTCGAATTTAGAATCTTTGCAGTAAGCTGATGTTCATTCGGGAATTTAAAATAAGAATGGCTAACGTTTAATCTTAGTCATTGAATCCCACTAATACAGATTTCTTATTTATCATCGGGTAATTTTAGCTAAGCCTGGTCAAGCGAAGTTAATTCTCAGATTTGAGACTTAATTCAGGCTTAAAATATGAAAACATTTGTTTTATTTACAGTTTATATCCGGTCACTCTAAGAGTGTTACTGGCAACATATAAACCAGATCTAGCTAGCGCACGGTCGTGTTGTCATCGGTGGCTAAACATGTTCTCCCACCGGATTTCCCTTGGGAGAAATGTGCTTAATGTGTTACCCAAAAGGATTAGAGGCAAGACCTATCAAAGAATGAATTAATCATTCAAGCCTTGGATGGAAACGGTGGCTGCTTGAAGACCATATGTGTGGTAGCAAAATTCAGCTACCTGGCCACGCCTCCAGAAAGAGTCAAAAGTTTTTGGTTGATAATTTTTACGATTTCACCATCCCTAACGTCTTCCCCCTAGCTCCCTTGATTGTAATCCCATGAGTTATTGTGTGGGGCGCGGTTGAGAAAGACACCAACCTCACTGCCTGTAATATGAAGGTTCAGATGACAGACAGGATTAAAGAGGCATTAGAGGTTCTCCCTCAGGACACCGTGAAGACAGCATGTGCCAGATTCCGAGGTTGGGTCGAGGCCATGGAAGATACTGACGGTGGATTCTTTGAGTAAATTGTCTTTCGATTATTATAACCTAATTGCCACTTTTCTATTTTTCCAATAAATTGATTTTGGGGTTCGATATTCGATTTGTTTTCCATTTAAAAAGAAACTCTCAAATTTAGCCCGAACACTTTGTATGTTTATGTATATATTCCTATCTATGTATATGTATGCATTCATATCTGTGTACATGTATGTATTCATATCTGTGTATATGTGTGTATTCATATCCGTGTACATGTGTGTATTCATATCTGTGTATTCATATCTGTATATATGTGTGTATTAATATCTGTGTACATGCATGTATTCATATCTGTGTATATATGTTTATTCATATCTGTGTACATGTATGTATTCATATCTGTGTGTATTCATATCTTTGTATATGTGTGTATTCATATATGTGTATTCATAGCTTTGTATATGAGTGTATTCATATCTGTGTATATGTATGTATTCATATCTGTATACATGTATGTATTCATATCTGTGTATATGTGTGTATTCATATCTGTGTACATGTGTGTATTCATATATGTCTATTCATATGTGTGTATTCATATCTGTGTACATGCATGTATTCATATTTGTATATATGTTTATTCATATATGTGTATTCATATCTGTATATGTGTGTATTCATATCAATGTACATGCATGTATTCATATCTGTGTATATATGTTTATTCATATCTGAATACATGTATGTATTCATATCTGTGTATATGTGTGTATTCATATCTGTGTACATGTGTGTATTCATATATGTGTATATGTGTGTATTCATATCTTTGTATAGGTGTGTATTCATATATGTGTATTCATATCTGTGTATATGTATATATTCATATCTGTGTATATGCGTGTATTCATATCTGTGTACATGCATGTATTCATATCTGTGTATATATGTTTATTCATATCTGTGTACATCTGTGTATTCATATATGTGTATTCATATCTGTGTATATGTGTGTATTCATTTCTGTGTCCATGTATGTATTCATATCTGTGTATATGTGTGTATTCATATCTTTGTATATGCATGTATTCATATCTGTGTATATGTGTGTATTCATATCTGTGTATATGTGTGTATTCATATCTGTGTATTCATATCTGTGTATATGTGTCTGAAGTATTGAAGTTTCAATATTCAGCCCCGCCTTTTTTTTTGTTTTTTAGTTATTTTTTTTTTTTAGTTTACTTCCCATTGGAATTTCTAATTGTATTTGTGGCGTTACTTATCGGAAAGTATCTGATATTATTCCTTTGCAAGCCTAGCTGACTAATTCCTGCATGTATCTGAACCATATTGCTCTCTTGTCGCACAAAAAAGAATTCAGTTATTTAAAACGTAACTCCTGTTCACTATATGCCGCTCACAACCAATTGGTGCCTCCTGTCATGTATACTTTGCTAATTATGTATTTGGTTTCCGCCAAATACCAAAAATTTCCCTTCATTTAATTATCAAACACAAGCATCATCAGGACCTAATGTGAACTTATTGTTATCGTCAATAGCCAAAAGCTAAATTGATATTTGTCGATTGCTTGCAAACATGTCTGGAGTTTGGTCATGACATGACTGAATTGTGCTTAGCTTTTATTAACATTATTAATATTTCGCAGAATATCTCTCTGTTTACTTACCTTGAGCAGTTTAGATTTAGCTGCTTGAAGAATGCCAAGCACTGCCCTGACCTCGTGGCCCTTGATTTGGTCAAGAAGATAATTAAACTTGGACATCCGTCTTTTCCAATGTTCTAGCTCTGCCCTGGGCCCAATGTCATCAGCTTCGCGTCTCATTTGCCCACTCTCAGCCAAAACCTACAAAAAAAAAAAAAATCTGAAGATTAATTTAAATCTGAAGCATTAACTAGATCCATAAAAATTATAATTTTATTATCTTGCTTTTTTAAAGTTATATATACAGGTTACCTAAATCATATTGATATCATTAAAAACACAACTACATTGTACCATGATGACAGTGAACAAAAAAAAACGTTAGAAATATATGTGCATTTATTACATGTGTCCTTCTTGGGAGAGTATTTGCACCTGAGGGTGAAGAACTGAGCAGGAATTTCTTTTAGGAAATCGGTAACTACACGTCTATCATGTCTGCCCACTACAAGCTACCGATATTTTCCAAGGGACAGATACTTCTTAGCACCGGCTGGAATTGCCAGAACGAGGTTGGCTAAAACGTCAGATCGATTCCAGGTTCCATCCGCAGGTTATTTCACATCACCACGGCTCTTCCCGTTGCCGCATGGTTTCAGGTCAGGGTTCCCTTTCTCTTTGACTGATTACCAACCCAGACTGACGTTTTCTATATATCCGATATAATAATTCGAAACCGAGGCTTAACAAAAGGCTTTCGATGCGAACCGCTTCCGAAAATGTAACTGCACACTTCCATGTATATTTGTATTTTGATTTATAAAACTGTTTTCATTACGTCTATCCGCCTACGCATTCGAAAAATCCTAGTAAAGAAAAGTCCGTTTACCAACAGGGATCGAATCAGCGCCCCCCTTAGTAGGGTAAACCACGGCTTGAACAAATGTGCTTTACCGCACTCTCTACCGTATTCGGATTACTAACACAAAAACAGAGAATGTCTCATATCGAGAATATTCAATATTGAACATAAGGAAAAATTAATTATTTTTAATAATATGTGGAAATCTCCGCTTTTACCTGAAGACGGTCGCGAGACCAGAAACACGTGTAGTAAAATTATGTAAAACAAAGCATAATATTTTTTCTAAATAAATCCACATTACAACCTAAAACGTTTGCGGCACCTCTCTTCTCTTCTTTTTAATATACATACTTTTCTCTCGTTGGAACCACTACAACCTCTTTCTTTTTATTATATATATATATATATATATATATATATATATATATATATATATATATATACCGTAATTCCCCATGGATAATACGCCTTCGTAATACGCTCCCCTTTTTTGGTAATCAAACCCTATACATTGTACCTCTTCAATTCCATTGCGGCCAGCGTTTCCTAATCTTATAAAAATTATTTTAAACATAGAATAATATTATTTTAATTTAGTTTTATGATAATTCTTATTTTATTTTACATTTGTAAGTATTGTTAGGTACATATGATTGTATTTGACGTCCTTATGGGGTCGCAATCGTCGAATGTTAGTGTCAAATTGTCGTGTGTTTGTGGTGAGTAGTCATTTCGCAATTGAAATCGACCTATAAAATGGCAATTTTAAAAAATTTTTGTGCATAAAACGCACCCCTTACTTTGCTTATTGTTTTCTAGAAAAAATGCATATTATACATCGGGAATTAAGATATATATACATATATATATGTCTATGTATGTATGTATGTATGTATGTGTGTGTGTGTGTGTGTGTGTGTGTGTGTGTGTGTGTGTGTGTATTATATATATAGATAATAGATGTAAATATCTTCTATGCGTATAGAATTTAAGTAATGCTATAAAAACAGACATATTTTTTCATGTATCTCTAACGTCGTAATAATTTTTTAATTAAAATTTATCATTATCGTTTTTTCTGGTGAGTATAAATATGAGATCTGATGATAATTTGTATAGGTTTATCGAATATCTGTCCCTGATTAGCCTATTGACGCGAAACTCCGGAGTCGGTCAATCAGATAAATCCATTGAACTTTTGTTGACTTGTTAAATAAAAGCAGACATATTTATCTAAAAAGAGTGAAAAAATGCACAGGGAGATCATTTTAATTAAATTTAAGCTACCTTCTATGTGTAAACGAAATGAATGCTTATTAGATGTCAGTCGGATTTTGTTATATAAATATGCATATGTTAATATATTAATAATATATGTGTATTCCATATATACATATATATATAATATAATTTTTTTTTACTTAAATCATGTATAACTTCGAAGTTTCATAGCTACGCAGATGTAACCACTCGTCAGAACAGAGTTAAACTGTTGATATTTCTAGATTCTTTTGTACTTTTATTGTAGCATGAGTGTGTTAATTTCCTTTTCGCTTGATAGGTGTTGATTGGTTGCTGATTTCCCTTCCCTTCCATTTTTCATTCTTTCCTCACCTTCTACGTTGATCTCTGGTTTATTGTTATTATTTTGACCATTTCATTTAAGTTATGGTTGGATTCTTGTTTGTGCAGGGAGTGCCCATGTATGTGCATATACATGTGCACACACATGGGCACACTTTCTTCTACTTTGATTTTCTTTCACCACCAACCAACTCTAGCAAAGCCAAACGACGATAGAGAACTAAAATCGTTACATAGTTTTCTCTAAAATGGCAACTTATTTTAAATTTCTTCCTTTAATTAATTGATTGGCTGATTCGTTTACTTACTTGTTCTACTTGATTAATCCATATTTTGATAATGTTTTCGACACCTTCCATCGCTTCAGAGCTGTTCGCAATGGCCATGAATTCAGCAGCTGTGAAGGCACGAGAAACATTCAGAGGTTCATAGTGCTGCAGAGTCACTTTATCCCCCAGACTGTCCTGGGCACCTGAAAATCAAAAAGAACATATTTATCATTATTATTATTATTGTTATTATTAATAATAATAATAATATTGTCGTCGTTGTTGTTGTCGTTGTTGTTGTGGTTGTTGTTGTTAACAGTAATATCATAATTGTTATTTTCCGTGCTAATAGAAATATGCAACGTACAAACACGGTGGATAAATAGTAACAGGTTTATTTTAGAAACCAGTACAACAAACAAGGAAGTAATAGTTATGCGCACGGTCGTCGCAAGTTAGTACAGTTGTATGCGTGCTGCTATCGGAAGGCAACTAGTTCTCGCAGAACCCAGCTCGGCGCTATTTAGCAACTGCCCCACGCAGTTACATGTGGCAAAAGGCCGAATTTAATGTGGGGTTCCCGAGCCCGTAGGATCGACCAAAAGATCCCCGTAGACCCCGCATAAACGGGATCGAGTCTGTCTACCTCCCCAGACGAAACTCTGCCTCGTCCGGGTTCTTCTCTGCCCGAAGGCAGAGAGTTCGACTCGCGCAACTGGGAAAGTTCCAAACTCCTCTCTCCTGTCCGCTGTCCTAACGGATACTTATAGGTGGTTACCACCTATAGTGTCGCCACTCATGGGGGTGGCAGGTTATTCCATTACATCAATAATATATAATATAATAATATTCTGTCAGAATGTTATTAACTTCCCGATCCGGGAGCGGAATTAACACAATGACAAGAGAGTTCCATAAGATTTATACTAAGATGTTTCATTAATTCCTCTTAGTAATTAATCAACTAACAGAAAATTCCAAGATGAACAAAATACCATCATATTAAGCATGTTTTCAATTGCATGTTCGATCTGTGTTGACAGAAATATCCCAGAGGATGGTAATATATGTACTTTTGTGTTTCTTTCTCTCCCCAACCCCACTAAATTCTCAAGAGCAGATAACTTTCTTTTCTACACCACAATACGCAACCATTTTTTTATCATAAAATAACCCCGACACCACAAAGGTGGACGTCAGTTTTTGGTCCTTTCAGAAACGTCATTCTCTCCTTCCAAGCTTACACTGTTATATTCGTCATCAAAATCAGTGTCAATCTTCTTGAAATTTGGAATTTTTTTCACCTCGTTTGCATGTCGAACGTACACGCCAGGTTTACCCAGCTTCCTCAACTATAAATTCAGGTTGATGGTCATACCAGTTCGCAGTTTTTTTGTCATGACAGATCCTCCAGTGCAGTTATTGACCTAAAGTTTTGTTTGTAAAAAATTATTACCAGCAATAAATTTTCGAAGAAAAAATATTACCGGAAATACATTATTACCAGTCATACTTTTTTTTAAAAAAATTGTTACCCGTAGTACATTTTTCGGAAAAATATTACCAGAAAAAAATATTACCAGCAATAAAAATCTTCTCGTCATTAAATAATCCATTGAGGTTGATATGTCATAAAACAAACAAACTTCACAAAAGTAAAATTAGACCAAAAATGGAGTGTTGCTGCTAGATCGGGAATATGTCTGACAAATCCTCATATTCCAGCCTTGATACATTTCGAGAAAGATTACGTAGGCTTGTGAGGAAAGATTTATTTCCCATTCAACAGCCTCTCTTTCCACATGCACATCGCAAGCCTATCGCTAGTCTATCACAATTTCCATGTCAAATGTTCAGATGAGCTCCATTATTTAGTTCAACCCGCTCAGGACTTTTATGGAGACGCCATGATACTTCCACCCAGTCAAGTCACCCTCTTTTCTCCAGCATTCCAACTGTAAAAAGGAATCTATTCTCATGAAGCTTTCTCCCAAGACCTGCTATGTTGTGGAACAGACTCGCGAGTAGACATCCCTGAACACTTCAATACTGGTCCCTTAAATTCAAGGGTCAATTGGTATTTATCCTCTTTATCCCTAAATCATTCTTTTTTAATAACATCCTCTTACATTCACATCGCACGCATTATACAGTAAAACTAGAGTGGCTCTTGAGCCTTATGATGGGTGAACATTGACGATATTTACAAAAAAAATAACATAGAGGGTGTATGTCATTACTTACCAGAGAGAATGGACACGAAAGCCTCCATAGAATTGAGGAAGTTGCTACGCACCGGCTGATCTTGCTGCACGACGTCCAAGTACCCCCATCCATATTTGAGCTTCCTAACTGCAGGAATGAACACTTGCGAAAGGATCACCTCGAGGCCACTGAGCAGACCTCCACCTTCTCTTTCTTGACGACTGGCGTCGAGCAGTGTGTAATTGACTTCCTAAAGAATAAAGAACCGGAACTATTAGGCTGAGTTATAAGTGATTTCCGTTTTGGGGAACCAGTTGTAATAACGAATATGACAACCTAACAAACCCTTCCTTAGATATAACACAGCAGGTGATGAAAAATGAGTTGCATACGACAATTTTCAATGCAAAATATAGTGGATTGACAAAAATAAGGCCCCACAACCAACCCCATAATCTGAGCTTCATAAAATGCAATTAAGCACTAAATGCACATTTATAGGTCCAGTAGCTACCACCTGTTCCTAGTGTTTGGTCGAAAAGCAGTCTGTGCTAGTTAATCGGAAAATGTGTTTCCTCTCTTCCATGACAATGCAATAATAACGCGGAAAACATTTTGAAAACCAGTTAATGTATACTACACCTTACCGCCATATTCACCTGACCATGAACCGACCTTTTATACTCTTTTTCAATCACTGCCAAACACTTTGATCGGGGGAACATTCTCTAATGTAAACCAGATTCAAGATTCTTTTAAAAAATTTTACGGTTCAAAACCTGCTGAATTTTGCTCAAAGGGTATCGAAATTACTTAAATATTCGAATATCACAAAGATCACGGATTAAGTATCCTAGTTTTTCGACTAAGCGACCTTGGTTCAATTCTAGGTGGTTGAATGGTTTCAATATTTTGAATCGCCATGATTATCGATTTATTTTATCTAGCCATTACTTCTGTGTATTCCCGGCATCACTCATGTCAGCCAAGTTTAGTAAATACAGTCTCAACATAGTGAAATCTTTAACAAGTTAAAGTAGTGTATTCTATCCTCAGTAGGTGTTTACGCTAAGCTTAGAAAATACTGTAAGTGTATGTAATACTTGATCGGTTGAAAAGCAAATGATTGTTAAATATATATTACGTTCAGTCATAAATCATTTCCGCTATGTTTATCATTTTATTCATTTATATATACAATGATTAAATTGTTGTCTAAATTACACAAAAATAAAAATAACACTGACATCTCATTTTAACAGATATATTTACCAAAATTACACGTGGTAAGCGGAAACAAGGTATTTTAAATAGTCAAATATACAGGGTGCTATGGATAAATTGTCGCCATTTTATATCTTTGATTTCATGCATGCCCGTTGTTTGTTTTTGATTTTGTCGACTACACAGTATAGTAAGGTCAGTTGGACAATGTCTGTGGGAAAACGAACACCATGACGCAATTCGCCCCACCAGAAATTTGGTACTTGCATTCGCTCCGGAACCTCCAATACAAACAATTCACGGTGTTTGGGGGTCAATCTGAGAACAGTGCAGAGGATTCGGAAAGAGTTGGATGAGGTCAATGGTGATTACGAAGGTATGGCAGTTAGGAAAACCAATCGTTCTAAGAAAAGAATTTGTTGGTGAGGGTCTAAACCTCAACACAGAGGAGGTAGTGCTGCTTTGGGTTAAGAAGGTGGCTGCTGGAAGACCCTATGTCTGGCAACAGGGCTCTGCACCACACAACACAAGAAGGAGAACCCAGTCATGTTTGTCAGACAATTTCTGCGACCACATCACCCCTTACATATGGCCGCCAAACACCCCAGACTGCAATCCTCTTGATTATTATATGTGGGGCACAGTTGGGCGAGAGACCAACAAAACTCCTTGTAACACCAAAGATGAACTGAAGGCAAGGACTATGGCAGCATTCACCAAATTAAACTAGGAGACAGTTCAGAAGAGTTGCAGAAGATTCCGAAGCCGTCTGGAGGACGTGATTGAAGCCACTGGCGATTTTATTGAATAAAGTTACTTTTTCGTATTTCAAGATATTCTTGTGTAATTTTGGTAAATATATCTTTTAAAATGAGATGTCAGTGTTATTTTCATTTTTGTGTAATTTAGACAGCAATTTAATCATCGCACACTCTATAAATGAATAAAATGATAAACATAGCGGAAATGATTTATGACTGAACGTAATATATATTTAACAATCATTTGCTTTTCAACCGATCAAGTATTACATACACTTACAGTATTTTCTAAGCTTAGCGTAAACACCTACTGAGGATAGAATACACTACTTTAACTTGTTAAAGATTTCACTATGTTGAGACTGTATTTACTAAACTTGGCTGACATGAGTGGTGCCGGGAATACACAGAAGTAATGGCTAGATAAAATAAATCGATAATCATGGCGATTCAAAATATTGAAACCATTTAACCACCTAGAATTGAACCAGGGTCGCTTAGTCCTGGGTAAGACGATAACCTACATCCACCAGCAAGGCCTCTGATCAGGAGGTTTTGAGGAGCGTGGCATGCTGGTGTTCCCAGGTGCACTCTGACCCGGGGTGGTAGCATCTGTCCCAGATATGGGCAAATAGTTATCCCTACAAAATGGGTCAAAAAGTTGCTTGCAAATAACCTTCAAATGATGAGTCCCAAGATCGAACAGCAATTAATCAATCATAAAAGAACCAATCAGAGTTAAATACTTTAAATGCAAAGAAAAAAAAAAAAATAATTTTACTTATAATTTCCTGTAATTTTAAATTTCTTTAATCCACTTGCATATTCCAATGCCCTTTTTTTTTTTTTTTTTATCGTGGTAAGGTTTTTTTCCTCTTGCGGACACTATGTGGCGTAATTTAAGTGTATTAAATTACAAGAGATGGGGAAGAACAGATGTTTCTTTTAACGTCCAAACTCGTTAATGCGTACGATTTAAAATCTCCCTTCCTCATTCATGCTCCGTTTTTATAGTGGTGGCGGATACCGTTTCTTGACAAAGGGGAGGGAGTAACCGTAGATTACTCCACACCTGTTACTTCAGGTTGTTTATGATTCGCCCTGACGGACACACTGCGCTTTATTATTATAGATAATTATCAGTAGTAGTAATAGTAGCATAATGTTTTCCATTTACTTTTTGTAGAACGTTTTACCCCCAAGTTTCAAGTATATACTTCAAGAGGCAACAAGCTTTTTTTTATTAGAAGAGGCAAACGGATGAGGTACCATGAAATCAGAGAGTAAAATAAATGTAATTGTGATTTCTGCATGGAGTGAAAACTATGCAAGCTGCGGGATGTACCAATGCGTATAAATTTTGGCAATTGCCATATTTTAGGGCCATCTATTTCGCGTTTTTGTTTGCTTCTTTTGGCAGAACTCCGAAAGCATCAATAACAAAAGGTCATTTTCTTGTATTTGACATGCCACATTCTACTGTTTTTTTATATCGAGCATCTTTTATTTATTCAGTTTCTCAAACGTTTTTAAAAATGTGCTTTTGCTGACTGGGGGCTGCAACATCTATCAGAAGCCATGTATTTTCAACATGATTTTTGACAATTATGTCTGGTCGAATCGCGTGGATTTCCCTTTCAGTCTGAACGTTGGTTGTTGTTGTTGTTATTATTATTATAATTATTATTATTATTATTATTATTATTATTATTATTATATAAAGAGATGATATAAAAACACAAAAATGATATCGGTGAGCTAATTTCTACTTCCAGCGAAGATAATTTATACACTACTACTCTTGGGAATGGAATGAATACATCGCTTCTAGATTCTAAGTAAAACAGACTGGGCTCATCAGTACTGATTGGCAATCATTTTTTGGTGAACGAAAATAAATTCAAAACTAGGAGTGGACTTAACTCTACCTCCTCGCTATGGATAAAAAAGTATCAAATACTAGGGAATGGATCTTTTGATTTCATTTCGTTTAAAAAATGTTTTGATTTTTATTGTTTCTAAACCCTTTATGAGTTATTCAAAGCCGAAACATAATTCTTTTTTTCTTTCTTGGGCGAATGAATATAACAATTAAAGTTTTTTTTTCTTTTTTTTTTTAGAATAACAAAGATTTTTTTCCGGATAGAACGCCTACTATTTAACCCATAGCTGGGAAAAACTACTCCAAGGGTTTTTGCGCGTAAGTATATGTAACGAAACGAACCCGACTGGAATCCGAACTCGGCTTTCCGATTTCTCATTTCGAGCCGCTATCCATTGCACCACCCGCACATCCTATAAAGCGGCGGAGTAGTTTTCAGTTATTAATTACTAAACTGATCTCACGACATATAATTGGAATAAAAAAACAAAAACAGAAGAAGGTGTCTCGGAGAGGATTCGTAGTTAACGATTCGAGTCTGGTTGACCATTAGTCTTGAACACGCTTCACTGGTGGCGGCAGGAGATTCAAAGACTGACATAAAACAGCCCATCCAAAGATCGACATGCCATAAAATCTACCAGGTGAGTCTTCAAATGTGGTCACACATTTAAAGACTCACCTGGGAGAACCTTTTAATAATAGCTAATAACAATAATTTAACCAAAAATGTCGCCACTTTTGACGTTATTTTGCAAAATTATTTTTTAAATAACGAAGTCAGTTGTTAGTTGAACTTATTAGTGAATTGTAATATCAATGGTTAGTTAGTTGGTTAGTTAGTACTTCTCATTCACTATGAAACATTGGACTCCTTTTAACGCCGCATCCAAGGACGTACCAATAGTAGGGGTTTCAGTTGTAATTTAGATTCACAAGCGGTCCCCAGCCGCCTGTATACACACTTTTAGAATAGTACAATCCGGTTGGAATTTATAGTTTTCTTTCTCCTAGACTGGTTGCCAAGCAAGGCTATATGACCAAGTCTGTCCTGTTATTTTACCCATAGATGGGGAAGAAGAGATAGATTCATACCTTTCCCAAGCATGAACTCGACTGGAATTCTAATTCGGCCCTCCTATTTCTCAATCCGAACCGCTAACCCTTACTCCGCCGTGCCTCCACAGATCTACAAATTTGACGTTAAGTATGAACATTTTGAGGTGTCGTAAAATCAACCAACCTGACCTAACCATATTCAACATTTGAGAACGTTTGATTAATAGCAAGAGAGGACGGAAAGTGCGACACCGAAATCCGAAGACGCATTGGAACAGCGAAAGATGCCTTTCAAAACCTAAGCAAAGTATTAAGAAACAGAAAAAATCATTAGAAACTAAAAAAAAGAGTCCTGAACTGTTATGTAATATCGATCCTCCTATATAGCAGAGTATGCTGGACAACATCCTCACAGACGAAGAATAAACCTGAAGCAACAGAAATATGGTTCTACAGAGGGATGCTGAGAATACCATGAACCGAACATGTGAGTAACGACGAAGTTTTAGAGAAAATGAAAACGAAAAGGGCACTTATACTTAACATCACGAAGAAAAAGGTTGAAATTTCTAGTGCACATAATGAGGAAAGGGGGCTTGGAAAACTTGATACTCAAAGGACAGATTGAAGTCAAGAGGGACAGAGGAACACAACGCGTAACCTACCTACCGAGCTTGAGGAAATAGATGACGAAATAAGGTTTAGGAGAGATAACAAAAAGAGAAAATGGTTGGAGGCATAAGATTTA